GTATTTGGACTTGATTTTAATGTGATGAGGCCCTCTTTGGATAGTTTTATGCAGATTAATGATATGATCTGATTTTTATTTAAAACAAATAAACAAAAATCATACACCAGTGTTGCCCAGATATGAGAAAGCACAGGCTTTTATTCCGCCTTGTGCAGAGTTTTTTTTTTTTCCTTGAAAATCCACTAATTCTGTTAACCAGACTTTGTTCCACTCATCTTTCCTCCTTTGCTCTTCTGTTCTTGCTTCTACTACAATACATTGTTAGGAATTTGAGCTTTGAAATCAGGCAAACATGTGTTTAAATCCTGACTCCACCACTTGTGAGCAGAATAATGTTAGAAAAGTGACTTTATTCTCAGAGCCACAGTTTCCACACCTGTAAAATGGGAGTGCTGATGGTATCTAGCATAGATTTGCTATAATACATAAATAAAATGTATCTTGTTACATACAGCATTTACTATAATGCCTGGCACCTGGGAAACATTCCATGAATATTAGCTATTGTGATTACAGTTGTACCAAGTGAAAATTGCAGCTTTGGCACATGAAAAAACAAAACAAAAGATAGCCCTTACTCAGAAGTTCTGAATAGTGTAACACAAACCTTGTGTGTGTATGTATGTGTGTGTCTTAAATATGTGATAGAAATCTGATGAAGCAGTTTGTTTTAACTAAGAATACTTGGTGCATGGAAAAAGCATTCTTGAAACTTCTCTGGCCCAGGTTCTTAGATTTCTGAAGATAAATTAATTCATATAATTACTATTTTAAAAGTCTTTCCAGAGCACCCAAATTTAGAGGTTAAACCATTGGAATAATTCCTTTCCTTATGCTTCTATTTAGAAAATTAAATAGTAATTGTAGTAATAATATATAAATATAACAAAACAACTAATAGTTATTAACTATCCACCACGTACCCGCCTATGTTAAGCAACATGTAGGAAGTATTTCATTTAATCCTCACTCTTTGAAGAAGACCCTTATTTTCTTGTCCATTTTATAAGAAAATTGAGGCATAGAGATATAAAGTAACTTGTCCAGGTCACATATTTAATATTTTAGAGGTTAAACCCAGGTCCCTCTGATCCACAATCTAAGTACTTATCAATTACGCTAAGATGCCATTCATCTCCATCACATGTCTAGATAAAATGGCTTTCTTAGGGCTTCCCTGGTGGCGCAGTGGTTAGGAATCCGCCTGCAAATGCAGGGGACGTGGGTTTGAGCCCTGGTCCGGGAAGATCCCACATGCCGCGGAGCAACTAAGCCCATGTGCCGCAACTACTGAGCCTGCACTCTAGAGCCCACGAGCCACAACTCCTGAGCCCGCATGCTTCAACTACTGAAGCCCACACGCCTAGAGCCTGTGCTCTGCAACGAGAGGCCACCACAGTGGGAAGCCTGTGCACCGCAGAGAGGAGTGGCCCCTGCTCGCCACAACTAGAGAAAGCCCGCGCGCAGCAACGAAGACCCAACGCAGCCAAAAAATAATTTAAAAAAAAAAGACTTTCTTAGAACACACACACACACACACACACACACACACACACACACACTATAAAATATATTTTCTGCGTTAAGGAGATCAAAATTTTCAACTCTCCTAAATATTTGGGAGCTACCATTTACATTCTTACTTGATTTCTTTTTATCTTCCTTAAACTGTTACACATTTTTTTCATGGAAAGTAAAATCTCTTTGGTATGTCATCTGTTTGTCTGCTTTAAGAGAAAACTTTTTATTGAAACCAGATTCCAGATGGGCTTCTCCCAAGATTTTTCATAGGAACAGAAAGCTTAGTTCCAGTCATCTAGAAGGAACTTTTTATTCTTTCCATAATAATGTGAGGAAGGCTTGTAAATTATCCCCATCTTTGCAAGAATATAAAACCTGGAACTCCAATGGGTTTTCTTCCTACTCATTCACACAGATTGGGTGTGTGTGTGTGTGTGTGTGTTAATGCTTCAGAACATAATGTATTTGTTTTTTAATGCTTATCTAAGGTCTCAAATGACTGTAATCTCTTTGCCCACTTGGATTTTTTTCCTTCACTTTTACTGAGAAAACAAAATGTTGGCGGGTATTTTTTTGTTTCTATCCAGCTTCTTAGAGCTCACTTTCTCCCATTTCATTTTCTTTCCCCTCCTCCATCCCATATTAAATGCCTCCTAGACATATTTGAAGAGCCCGGAGACCACTTCTCAAGGAGAGGATTGATTGCTATTAATTAACAGGTGAAATAGGTACTGACCAATTCCCTGAAATTCCCTGCAAGTCACTGAGTATGTACTTAATTTGAACTGGCATAAGTGAAAAAAAAAAAAAAAAAAACTTGCTGGCTCTGGCTATGTAATTGTAAACCAGCTTCAGGGACAGCTGGATTCAGGCGTCCAGATGCTCCCATGGACCTCTTGGCTCTGCTTTCATCTATGTTAGCTCTCAGGCAAGCGCTCTGAAAGGTGACGGCCAAGGCCACCAGCTCCAGTTGTGCCTCCTACTGGTTTGCCAACCCAAGCACAAACATTTGTAACTCTGTTCTAGTAGGTTCAGCAAAAGCCGCAAGACTGGTTTTTGTTAGTGTAGCTTAGGTCATGTGCCCACCTAGGAGGTGAGCATTTTAGCAAGGGAAATACAAGCTCCAGATGATGGACTTGGATATGCACTCACCCAAGTTCGGGGGGCAGAGCTTCATGGAAATGGGTTGCCCCATCTAAGAGGTCCTAGTCCTTACAAGTTATCAAAAATACTTTACCCATTCTCTGATATCAAGAGCTATGGTTTGTATCTGCTGTAACTCTTCATGCACTGAAGTCTAGTTTAGATACCTGGATGTAAGGGATGGATCCTTTGTTGAAGCAATATATTGGCACTTTTTTGGAAGTCTGTCCATGGGAAGATTCTTTTCAAAGACTTTTTCTCTGACTGTAACACTCTTACTTACCACTAGCTCCTTGTTTTCCCGCCAGAGAGTAGGGAAGACTAGAGGAGATCAGTTGATGTTCTTGGCATTTTGAAAAGCCCTTCCTTGTTTTGAATCTTCATCTCCTCCTTTTCTGTCAACTGCTTCCCCTTCTCCTGGCATGGAGCATCCCCACAATTCATTTATATTCACTCTGACAGTTCAACTGCCTGAGTTGCTTATTTGGCATCTTGACACATCCATCCATCACTTCTTTATTCCCACTCTCTCCCTCCCTCTTCCCTTCTGAGTATAATAGTTACCACAATTACGAATTCCAGGACCACAAGAAAAATGGTTAAGAAGAGCCAAAGGATATATCCAATGTTCATAAAGGGTCTGAGTTTATGAGGAGCCCTTAGTGCTTGTCACTGGTCTTCAGTACCATTTCTTCTCTGCTCCTCAAAGCTTAAAGAGGAGACCACCACTCTGCACAGGAATCCAGAGCCCTCTCTCCATCTCTCCCTCCCTCTCTCTCTCCTTTACTGTTTGTTCTTGACTTTAGACACTGTGAGATACTAGAGTTTGGCAAAAATAATTGCTAATGGATGTGTGTATTTCTCACTACCTATGAGCAATATGAGATGAGCTAAATAAACCTCGGTTCTCTTCTTTCTCTTTCTATCATCCTGCAAACAGATATTAAGAAGTGGTTGACTACAAACTACACAGTCACAGTATCTGTCAGTTACTAAGCAGCTACTATGGAAAAGGCAGGATTCTTGATCCTTTGCATGAGTTTTCTCTTTTAAACATCAGAACAACCCTGCAAGGGAGCTTCTATTTTTCCCATTTTACAAATGAGAAAATTCAAAGGGTTTTAGTGACCTGCCCAAGGTCACACAGCTTATCGGTAGAGAATCTTGATCTTTAGCTGTGATTTCCAATTTTGTAGTGTATTTTTTTCCCTTAATATTGCATTGCTTTAGAAAAGGGCCCTCGAAAAGGATGCAGTTCAGTTAGGTCGATGCAGAGTTCAAAACAGAAACAGGTGGATTCTGGAAACAGCACCCCTCCCTGGAGGGGGCAGAACCTGCACCCACAGTCTTGCACAGGTAACGCTACACTCTGCCTCCATGCGGCCCAAGGTCTAATCCACTTTCCTGTCTAGACATCTGAACTTCCAGACTTCACAGTGGAAACTTTCTAGAATATAAGATAGAGAGAGCATGAACTTTGGAGTCAGATTTCTGCCCATAATCAGATTCTGCTTGTTGGCCAGCTCTGGGAAGGTGGATCAACCTCTCTGGCTGTCCATTTTCTCACTCATGAATAATGACAATAACTAACGTTCATAACATTTATTGAGCATTTACTATATACCAGGCACTGTTTGATGTGCTTTAAAAATATTAACTCATGGAATCTTCATGACAAAATTATGGGTGTAGGTTCCATATTTGCCTCATTTTACCAGAAAATTGAGGCACAGAAAAGTTAAGTAACTCAGATTCAAATTGACAGTCTGGCTCAGTGGTTCTCGAATGTGAGTTTTGCCCCCAGGGGACATTTGGCAACTTCCGGAGACATTTCTGGTTGTCACCACTAGGGGATGCTATGGGCATCTGGTGGGTAGAGGCCAGGGATGCTGCCGTACACCCTGCAAGGCACAAGGTGGACCCTGGAACAAAGAATGATACGGCCCCAAACAGCAATAAGTCCCGAGGCTGGGAAACTTGTTCTCCTAACCCCATAACTGCTGTCCTGCCTCCCAGGTGAAATCATGATAATTAGCTTCTCACAGGATTCCCACGGAGATAAAGAAGATAATTAATGTGTCACTAACACAGCACCTGGTGCGTGCTTTCCAGTAACTTGGCTTTCCTCTTCCCTAATCTTCCATTCCTCTCTCCAGAGAAAAGCAGGGTCAGAAGACACCTCGATAGCTGACTTCTGCTCCGCAGAGGGACCCAGGCACAGCAGAGTCCCAGACTGCATCACAGCCTCTGTGTAGGAGACGTTGGGAGTCCATTAGCAATCCTTGAATTTCCTCGCTGGGCTGAATGACCGCTGTTGATGTTTGTGTTTACAGTTGATTTGGAAACAAGTGTCCAGGAGGATAATGTGGCCACTTCTTCCCCCAAGACAATGGAGATAAGCGCTGTTGCGGATGCCAACGGGAAGAATCTTGGGAAGGAGGCCAAACCCCAGACACCAGCTGCTAAATCTCGTTTTTTCTTGACACTCTCTCGGCCTGTACCAGGACGTACCGGAGACCAAGCCACGGATTCATCCACTGGACCAGTGAAGCTTGATGTCAGCTCCGATAAAGCTCTAGGGAACAAAGACCCGAGTGAGCCCATGGCGCTTCCGGTGGCAGCTGCACTGGGTTGCGACCCAGATAAAACCCCCGTGCAGACCCCGGCCCAAGCCGAGGGGCCCTCTGCCACTTGGGGACCAGAGTCTCGTCTATCTGAGTCCGGAGGGGCAGCCCCCTCCAAGCCCAAGGACTCCAGCTTCTTTGACAGACTCTTCAAACTGGACAAGGGACGGGACAAGGCCCTCGTGGACCGCCAGCAGGAAGCCAAGAGTGCAGAGCATCACCACCCCACCGCCGAAACTCCTGGAATCTCCACGCAGTCGGACGATGTCCCTGCAGAGAGGGTAAGACAATCCGTTTTGTTCTTAATGCAGGCTCGGGGGGCACTTGTGGGGCAGGACGATTGCACGTGTGTTGCTGTGCCATCACGGAGGGGTCCTGACAAGCTCTCAAGCCGTGGATACCTCTAGAACCAGCAGCACATTGCAGCGCGGTGCTCGCCAGGGTTTCTGCGGGGCAGAAACATCTGTTGGAAGAACAGCAACAGCTGTGGCATCTGTTTCACGTAAAAGAAAAGAGGAGGTGAGTCACATACAGATGAATCTGTCCTTCCATTTATCAAAGGCAGAGGTGGACAGGTTGCATTTATGATCAAATGGAGGCTGGAGGGAAAAGCATTAGCAGAATAAAAACGGTTCCTAGAAGACTTAAATACCTGCCCGTCTCAGTAGCTGGTTTCATATACAGAATGTTTATGGGCTTTTGTTGGAATGCAGTTCACTTCTTCTGTTTAATAGCTTGGACTGATCTTTAACTATCTTTTGCACTAAAGTGTGCGTTTAAAGAAAGAGCTTTTACAGCTCTGGGCAGACTCTTTTATGTACAAATTATTTTTCAACACGCTGGAGTAATACCTTTGTAAAAAACGAGATTTTTTTTTTTTTTAAAGGAGGCATCTGAACCGGTTGCTTTCTTTCCTGCGCAAAGAAAGGCAAGTCCTTTTGATCTTAAAAAGAGCGTTTGATTTTAACCTTGAGAGTTTGTTTGTATTGGGGACCGAGAAAAGAACTCCTTGAATGAAGAAGGAAATAAAAGTAGACACATTGTATTTTAAGGCACTTATTCCCTTAGTTAATGGATTTAAACAACAGGATTTTTCAAAATTTGGGAGTAAAGTGCCTCTACTTGAGCTTAGACCCAGGAAAAAATTAAATGGGTTGTTTTTTATTACATGGTCGTGTATCATTGCTGTCAATATATTTGTCTTCATGACAACCAGCTTCCCTGCCAAGTTGCTAATGATAACACTGGCTGTCATTTATTTAGCCTTTACAATGTGCCAGGCTCTGTTCTAAGCACTGTCCAGATATTACTTTCCTTCAGGAAAATGAGTATCACATTAATCTGAGGTTTTAATGTATCCAGGATGCTGTCAAAAATTATACTGTAAATATTAGACACCACCTGAAAATTCTGGACTGTTAGAATTGAGGCACAGATGATGAGGCTCGTGTGTTTAGGCTCATGCTATCAGCATTCTTGTCATTTCTGTAAATTTTTACTCTAAGAACTGATTCTTGTATTTTCTTTCAAAAGTTAGAAAAATTGCCCTTTAAACGCCCACTTCCCCAAATGCAGCAGTTCAGGAGCCAATTGAATAGCTTTCTGTTTAATTCAAAGTGAGTCTTCAAATGTATGCTGGCGTCAAATCTTTACTGAGGGTGACGCTGCCAGGTGCAGGTGAAGCATGGCCACAGTGGTGGACAGGACAGGGTCCCGGTGCTCAGGGAGTTTTTGGTCTAGAGAGAGAAGAGGTACAAAAACCTCACAGTGACAATGCAAGGTGCCCAGTGCTCTGGTGGGGAAGGCCAAGTGTTGGAGAGGATGTCCAGACACAAGGAGAATTAGCCTACCTGGCCCAGGGAACCTTCCATCAAATGTATAAACCTGGAGCCCCAAAGATCCTTGTCTTGGGGCTATAAACTGGTCATTAATATTCATGAATATTTGAGAAGCTCTTTACTACTTTACTTTGAGTGGGGAAACTCTTGTTGCCTTCTTGTTATTGGTCATGGGCTACTAAGGCCATTCTGAGTTTTTGAAGAGTCACATGTTTCATTTTCATGGGCATCCAAAGCCAGCCCATTGCTTGAGTTAGGAAAAGGCTGAGTTATTTATGGAAAGAGAATGAAGGACTGAGCTTTCCCCATCTTGGGATAGGTGTCTGTGAGGCACCCAAATCTCCATCTTAATTAAGTAAACCCGTTCAGCCTCCGAGAACTGACCCTTGAAAGTATTTAACCTTAAAAGCTTAATGTGATCCATCCATTCCTATCCTAAGACGAGCGCAGAAAGGTTTAGAATTGTGCTTTGTCAACTCAGTTTTTTTTTTAATTGAGTGCTCTGGGACAGCACCTCAACTGGAGTGGAATGAGTTCCAGAATGAGATGAGATTCAGAAGATGGGGTCTGTGTTGGGAACATGGAAGGTATTTAATATAGTCAAGCCTGAAGTTCTAGTAACCTCTCAGAAAATCTAAAAATTGTCACTTATCTTCCTTTTGGAATAAGTGAATTTGTTTCCCTAGATTCACCCATGAAATTTGCATCTGTGTTTGTTCCACTACAAATTTCCATTTTGGGTTGGTTGTATCATTGGGATTTGAAATATGGAGTGCTCACTCTGCCCTACGTGCTTATAAAACATGGAAAAGTTATGAAATAGCCACTCATTTCTCCTCCAGTCTGTAAACTTGTGGATATTCAAATACATATATCTGTAAAGGTTTTTAACAACAACAGCCTTCTGATTGTTAAGATTTCTGTTCTGGTCCCTGGCTGCACAGTCTGTATTTTGGGGAAAAATCAATTGTCCTGGAAGTGTAATGAAAGGGTCCAGCCCTCAGAAAGTAACAGGAATAAAACTTCTCAGTCAATGGCTTTTTTGGTGGGAGTAGCACATTATGCATAAGTGGCCGTCAATGTATCGATTGAGAATTCTTAGGGTAAATTATGCCTTCGGCTCAGCGGTGTCAGCTGTCTCTCCTCTCCCACCCACTCAGTCCTCCCCCCCACCACCCGGTTTCACTGTGTGTCTCTTACTGGATTGGAATTCCAACCACAAACCCACAGAGCCGTGAATTGGGAGAAAGATGCCACCATTTCATTCTGGGGGAAACACACAAATCTTCTGTGTTTTCAGAACGACAATCTTATTTTTGTGCCTTATAAAACTACATTCAGAGCATAGCATAATTAAAACAAGGCCAGAATTCATGAACAAATGAAGCATTTACTACATAGGCCAAAGAAAAGATAAATTATATGCCTGAAAGGTTTCACTGAGCTGTGATTCACACAAACCAATGTGTTGGCAGGGATGAGGTGGGTTTTTTGTAATTTTTCTCTCACCCCAACAATTGAACCAGAATTATAAATACGCATTTAACAGATTCAGCCCTCTCAAAATTGATCGCATCATGAAAACTTGATCTTTAGTGGGTAAAGAAAAAAAGCAACACTAAATTTCTATTGTCACTGGTTAATTCCAGAAGTGTCTTTATGTTGGGGGTACGGGTGCTTTAAGTGTTGCCAAGCACAGATTCAGGAGATTTAAACAAGACTATCCCTTTTCTTTTAAAAGTTTAATTAAATTCTGTGTTATTTAAACACCAACCTTGTGCAAGGCACTTAAAAGATAAATTATGGTCCTAGACCTTCAAAGATCATGTGATCTAGTAAGAGACACACTATTTTTTTAAAATCATATGGTATTTGTCTGTTTTCAATTCACTCTTTTTTTAAATTAATTAATTAATTTGTTTATTTTATTTTGGGCTGTGTTGGGTCTTCGTTGCTGCGCGCAGGCTTTCTCTGGTTGCAGCGACCGGGGGCTACTCTTCGTTGCAGTGCGCGGCCTTCTCATTGCGGTGGCTTCTCTTGTTGTGGAGCATGGGCTCTAGGCGCGTGGGCTTCAGTAGTTGTGGCTCTCGGGCTCAGTAGTTGTGGCTCGTGGGCTCTAGTGCTCAGGCTCAGTAGTTGTGGCGCACGGGCTTAGTTGCTCCACGGCATGTGGGATCTTCCTGGACCAGGGCTCGAACCCTTGTCCCCTGCATCGGCAAGCGGATTCTTAACCACTGTGCCACGAGGGAAGTCCCAAGACACACATTTTTAAGGGAGGTTGTGATAAGTGCATTGATCCTGAAATTCATTCAGGCTACGGATTTTTAGAGAAGTACTCAGTGTTTTGCTTCCTCCTCTTCTTTTCTCTCTTGAACACATACCATTCAGGCTTTGTCCTCCATAAAACCTGCTCTTGTCAAAGCTGCCACGATGTCACACCTCCCCCCTCACCTCAGCTGCCAAACTGAGTACATCTCCATCCTTATCCTACCCTACTTGCGGGTCACACCTGACACAGCCCACCATCCCTTCCTTCTTGAAGCAGCATCCTCACTTGGTTTGCAGGCTCCCCACCTCCCTGGCTGCTCTTCCTTAATCTCTCGTGCTGAGTCTTACCCTCTAAACATCGGAGTCCCCATCGTTCAGTTCTTGGATGTCTTCGTCTTTAACTACACTTCCTTCCTTCCTTGGAGATCTCCCCCAGTCCCAAGGGTTAAATATAGCCATCTGCTGACAAGTCCCAGATTGATGTCTCTAGCCTAGATCTACCCCCGAAGTCCAGACTTGAGTATCTAGCTGCCTCTGGTGCCTGTCTACTTGGATTTCTACACCGCTGTTTGAATGTCTACTGGACATCTGGACCTCGATAGGTCCAAAACTGAACTCTTCATTCACACTCAACACCACCACCACCGACAACATACCCACTTGTTTAATCCACAGGCTTCTCATCTCAGTTACTGGCAACTCCATCCTACCACTGCTCTTTAGTGGTAGAACTGGAATGAAAGAACCAAGATCTCTACAGTCCTTTTCTACATGGTATAAAGTAGTGAATTAGAACATAAGCATTGAAGTCAAGTAGCCTAGGTTTCAACTCTGTGTCTGTCACCTACTGGCTGTGTGACCTTGGGCAAGTTACTTAACCACTCTGAGCCTCAGTTTCTTCATCTGTAAAATGGGGATAATAATAATATCAAGCACATTTTCACATTATTCACATTTCTGAAAATTAAATAAGTCATGTAAAGTACTTAACACAGAGCTATTGCATTTTGAGAAATATTATCAGTATCACGGTTTTTCTCCCCCTTACTTCACATTTTAGTCTTTTTACCCTTCCCCTCCATAGTCTTCAACCAAAACCTGCAGAGATAGCACAATTGAATCTAATTTGAAAGCTACATAACCAAAGGCATAAGTCCTAATTTGGGTTAAAAAAA